CAGCATCATGAGCATCATCAGCATCGACTATACCATCATCCGAATCAGCATCCGAATCATCAGCCTCATCATCATCATCGTCATCATCATGAGCATCATCATCATCATCGTAATGACAATCATCAGCATTATCAGAAGCATCATCATCGTCATCGTCATCATCGTCTTCGCCATCGACATCGTCACCGCTGGCATAGTCAACAACAACAACAACAGCATCCCCAGCATCATAATCACCACAAGCATTATGATCATCAGCATCATCATCACCATCATCATCGTGATCATCATCAACCTCATCATCATGGCCATCATGAGCAGTATCATCATACTCATCGCCACCACCATCACCATTATCAGCATCATCCGCATCACCATCATCACCAACATTACATCATCATCATCATCATCATCATCATCAGCAGCATCATCATCATCATGACCATCGCCCTCATCAACATCATCATCACCACCACAATCATCATCGTCATCATCGTCATCATCATCATCAGGACCAGCATCATCATCATCATCATCATCATGATCACAATCATCATCATCAGCATCAGCATCAGCATCAGCAGCAGCATCATCATCATCATCTTCTTCCTTCATCATCATCATCATCATCAACATCATCATGCCCCTCCCCCTCCTCCTCCTCCTCCTCCTCCTCCTCCTCCTCCTCCTCCTCCTCCTGCTTCTCCTCCTCCGCATGAGCACCACGACTTCCACCACCATCCGTCTTCCTCCTCCCTCCCATCCTCCTCCCCCGCCCTCCAGCCGCCCCACCGTTCCGCGCTCCTCCTCGCAGCCCGGGGGGGGGGCAGACCAGGGCACCCGACGACTGCACTTGTTCGGCGTGCGGCCCCAGAGGTCCCGACCCCTTCCCCAAGGGGAGCGTTGTTTTCCCTACCTAGGCTCTGCCTAGAAGGGTTCTTACTCTCTTCGCTTAAGGGCCGGGCAGTGTAATGCGCCCCGGGCGGTTCCCCCGGTCCCCTGGGAGCGGTTCCCCCAGTCCCCTGGGAGCTTTAGCTTAGCTTTAGCTTAGCTTAGCTTAGCTTTAGCTTAGCTTTAGCTTAGCTTCAGCTTAGCTTCAGCTTAGTGTTAGCTTAGCTTTAGCTTAGCTTTAGCTTAGCTTTAGCTTAGCTTTAGCTTAGCTTTAGCTTAGCTTTAGCTTAGATTTAGCTTAGCTTTAGCTTAACTTCAGCTTAGCTTCAGCTTAGCTTTAGCTTAACTTCAGCTTAGCTTCAGCTTAGCTTTAGCTTAGCTTTAGCTTAGCTTTAGCTTAGTTTTACTGTTACTACTAATGCTGCTTTCCTAGCGGCTCCAACTCCTAGGTAGGGTCTCACTGGGATAATTTTATTCGGCGTTTCGACATTGAGAGGAAAGAGGAGGGAGGGGGGGTCTGGCTCTGGACCTCTGCGGAATGCGACTGTTTGCAGCAGTGCGTCCTATGGGGGGAGCCTCCACCCGCCCGAAACAGGCGCCCAACAACAGCCAAGATCTACTCCGTGGGGGGGAGAGGTGCGAGGGCCCGCGCCAATCGGGAACACAACGAATAAAAGAAGGATCACAAGGCTTGCCTTCATTCGGACGTGCATTCCTCTTGCATTGGCTGGTTTCGGGCGTGCGCTGACCTCAAGATGCATTTAGGTCGGGCCTGTCTCCCTACAGGAGGATTTGGGACGGAAATAAAACATACCCCACAAAAATTCAAAAATTATGAAAAACATCGTCCCCTGACTATGGTTTAACTATGTTTGGAGATTTCCCCTGTAGAGGGACAGGCCCAATTAAGAGATACATCAAACTGCTCCCCGATGGTCGAGGCTCTCTGGGCCTGGCCTCGCCCAGAAAAAGCGTCGTCAGCGTCGCCCTCCAGCAGTGAAGGAGCCCAGGGACACACAGATAAGAATACATACACGGATCCCAAGATAGTTCCATAGTTTTTCCAAGTTTCCATAGTTTTCCCAAAGTGTTCATAGTTCCATAGTTCCCATAGTTTCCATACAAGATATCCAACATGTTTCCATAGTTGTCCCAAACCCTCCTTGGGTTGGGTATTCGTTTGGGATACAGGATCGTGATCGCGTCCTCCTCCCGCCTCCCTCCTGCCTCCTCCCGTCTTGCATGCAGGGGGCTGCGATCTGTGAAACTGTCGCCACTTTCGAGGCCTGCTGGGGGTCCAGCACAGTGACGTCCTACGCAGATTCAAATTCTACCTCGCCATCCCTGGGGGGCTGCGATCTGTGAAACTGTCGCCACTTTCGAGGCCTGCTGGGGGGTCCAGCGGAGTGATGTCCTACGCATATGCAAATTCGACCTCGCCATCCCGGGGGGGGGCTGCGATCTGTAGAACTGTCGCCACTTTCGAGGCCTGTTTGGGGGGCCAGCATAGTGACGTCTTACGCAGATCAAAATTACACCTCGCCATCCCTGGGGGGCTGCGATCTGTGAAACTGTCGCCACTTTCGAGGCCTGATGGGGGGAGGGTCCAGCATACTGACGTGCTACGCAGATTCAAATTCTACCTCGCCACCCCTGGGGGGCTGCGATGTGTGAAACTGTCCCAGCATAGTGACGTACTGCGCAGATTCAAATTAGACTTCGCCATCCCTGGGGGGCTGCGATCTGTGAAACCGTCGCCACGTTCGAGGCGTGCTAGGGGGGCCAGCATAGTGAGGCCCCGCGGCGGAGTCAAATGGAACCTCCCAAATGCTGGTCGAAGAAAAACATGCGTCCATGTCTCGGCATCACCCCTTATGAAGTCGCCCAAGCTACTCATACCCCGCATTGCGCAGGGGTTGGGCACGTCGCCAGGATAATTGGACTTGCGTTCTTCCCCCCGACTTCCCATATGTTCCCATGCTTTCGAAGAATTCGGCAATTGAATGTGTCTCTGTGACTGGTGTCCCAACCCTCCTTGGTTGGGTATTCGTTTTGAATAGAGCGCTGCACGCGCGTCCTTCCGCCACTTCATGCCCCCTTCCTTCCGGTATTCGTCCTTCCTTCCGCAGCTTCCTGCCCTCTCTTCGCCGTCGATGGGGGCTGCGATCTGCGAAACTGACGCCACTGTCGAGGGCTGCTGGGGGGTCCAGCGGAGTGAGGCACCGCGCAGATCTGAGCGGGCCCTCGCCGTCCCTGGGGGGCTGCGATCTGTCAAACTGTCCCTACTTTCGAGGCCTGCTGGTGGGCCCAGCGGACCTCACCGTCCCTGGGGGGCTGCGATCTGCGAAACTGTCGCCACTTTCGAAGGCTGCTGGTGGGTCGTGCGGAGTGAGGCAGCGCGCCGATCTGAGCGGGACCTCGCCGTCCCTGGGGGGCTGCGATCTGCGTAACTGTCGCCACTTTCGAGGGCTGGTGGGTCCTGCGGAGTGAGGCACCATGCGGATCCGAGCGGGACCTCGCCGTCCCTGGGGGGCTGCGATCTGCGAAGTTGTCGCCTCTTTCGAGGGCTGCTGGTGGGTCCAGCGGGATGAGGCACCACGCAGATCCGAGCGGGACCTCGCCGTCCCTGCTGAGATGAACGGCGGATTATATCTTAGATATAAGTTGAGGACGTCTGTTAGTAACTAAGTTATAACTAAGTTATAACTAAGTTATAACTTAGTTATACCTAAGTTATAAATTGGCGCGTTTAATAGTGACTGACAGCGTCTGAGTTATAAGTCAACCTCTAATACCTTATTAGAGCTCGTTGAGTTAGTAAAAGTCAACAGATTTAGGAGGTTGACTTAGGAGATCGCAGCCCCCATGGGGGCTGCGATCTGCGAAAACCATCGCCACTTTGGAGGGCTGCTGGTGGGTCCAGTGGAGTGAGGCACCGCGCAGATCTAAGCGGGACTTCGCCGTCCCTGGGGGGGCTGCCATCTGCGAAAATGTCGCCTCTTTCGAGGGCTGCTGGTGGGTCCAGCCGAGTGAGGCACCGCGCAGATGTGAGCGGGACCTCGCCGTCCCCGGGGGGCTGCGATCTGCGAAACTGTCGCTACTTTCGAAGGCTGCTGGTGGGTCCAGTGGAGTGAGGCACCGCGCAGGTCTGAGCGGGACCTCGCCGTCCCTGGGGACCTCACCGTCCCTGGCGGGCTGCGATCTGCGAAACTCTCGCGACTTTCGAGGCCTGCTGGTGGGTCCAGCGGAGTGAAACACCGCGCAAGTCTGAGCGGGACCTCGCCGTCCCCGGGAGGCTGCGATCTGCGAGAATGCCCCCACTTTCGAGGGCTCTTTGAACGGCCAGCATAGCGATCTGCGAAACTGACACCACTTTCGAGCGCTGCTGGCGGGTCCTGCGGAGTGAGGCACCGCGCAGATGTGAGCGGGACCTCGCCGTCCCTGGGGGGCTGCGATCTGCGAAACCGTCGCCACTTTCGAGGGCTGCTGGTGGGTCCAGCGGAGTGAGGCACCGCGCAGATCTGAGCGGGACCTCGTCGTCCTTGGGGGGCTGCGATCTACGAAACCGTCGATAGCTGGCGGTGGGTCCAACGGAGTGAGGCACCGCGCAGATCTGAGCGGGACCTCGCAATCCTTGGGGGGCTGCGAGCATCACGAATGCCGCTCGCAGAAGTAGATGCGCCCATGCCACGTCATCTCCGTATAACGTCTCCCAGTCTACTCATGCCCCGCATTGCGTAGGGGTTGGGTCCGTCGCCAAGGTAATTTCCCTCCTGAAACAGAACCGGACGGCTCCAAAGAGTACAAGACCCCAAAGAAGTCCCAACAAAAAGTTGCATGGGCCCTTTGCGCCCATGCAGTTTTTTGTTGAGACTTCATCGCGTCGTTCGCAAGTGGGCATCGTTCAGAAAAATGCGTTTTCATTTCCAAACGATGCCAAGAATAATGTTGTTTCGTCCCGTATCAATGTATGACCCCGCGGCCCAAAGAACATGCCGCCGAGCGAAGGAAAATCAGGGAAACACGCTGGCCGAAAAACACATCGTTGAAGGTCTGGGGAAATTAAGCTATCTGGTAGACGGCAGCTGATGGCGGCAGCGGCGGCGAACCGCTTCGTCGTCCTTGACACCCATCAGTGCGATGCGCTTGCGGTCGATGGAGTCCTGCGGGACGCAGAAAGACACACTAGCCCCCCCCCTGGAGACGCGAGTCCGAACCGAATACATCCGCCGCCCCCCGCGTGCCAGGGGCTCGAAGGCGTGCGAGATGATCGGCTGTCCACCTCACCAGTTCCCCCTCCCCTGGGGTCAGAAATGCGGTCAGATTGGGGAGAGGGTCCACGAGCTCACCCGTGGCCTCTGGAGCCTCCATGTCTGCACCCTGTGGCCTCCAATATCGATCTACGAGTCGAAAGTGAGCCTGGTAACTCAAATAGCATCCGATTTCATGATAGACATCGGATGGCAAATAGCGTCCATCGCTCTGCTGTGATAGTACAGTATGAGGGGTGGACGGATAAGACAGGATAAGATCGATGTAATGATCTTTCCAGCACATAGCGAACACTCGCGGTGTCCGGGCAAATAGGGCGCGCGTGCCTTGGGCCAAAGGCAACGGCGCGCGCGAGCTATGCTCCCGATACTATAACATATCCCAAAGACCTACCCTTAAAGTCGGGAGGGGAGGAGACGGAGAGCATAGTCGCACGCAAAGGTCGCGCGCACGACTGTTTGCAAATAAGAAAACAGTGCGTACAGTCTGGCCTAACATCAGACTGCAAGGCGAGTTTCCTCGCAAGGTATTTCACGCAAATACAAGACAGCCCCTTCAAACAATGAAGGGCTATCGGCTCAGTTAGAGGTAAGCCAAACAGGCCATACCTCACCAAGCAAATGTGTTTTAAGGCAAAGAGCCTGAGTTGTACGAAGCCGGCTCGTTGCCAGGCGTGAAATATAAGGCTCGTTTCCGAGCAACTAGAGGGGCGCCTTTATAGTAGGCGCCCGTGCTGGCAAATTGGACCGCGAGGGCAACAAGGACAGACTAAAATTGATTAGACTTAGGTTTGTCTCTGTCCTCGGGACCCCGAAAGGGAACAAATTGCTTCACGTCATACTTAAATGACTGAGTGCCTGACATCACTTCCAGAAGCAGCTCCCGATCGATGCTTCCCTTTGTATGCCCATCTGCGGTCATATCCCTAGTATCACACCATTGCACATTATGTACTATACCTATATCCATGAGCTCACGTATCCAGCTGATATGTCCAAGCAGAGTCCGTTCTGTAGGTATTTTGAGATCCCTGCTTGATGAAGATTTGTAGACGGACTCGGCGTCTATGGTAAGAGAGACTTTGATAGCTAGGCCTCCAACTTCACGCATGTCTCGTAGTTGTCGTGGAGTCAAAGCTCCTGCCTTAAGCTCGTGGAGAGTAATGAGCGTAGGGTAACACTCATCAAGGTTATGTGCGGCTGCAAGTGCCTCCGCAGCATAACTGGACCTCACCTGTAATCGGTGTGATTTGCATAGTCCGTCACAGAGGTGAACGACGGACTTGCCTTGAGGCGAGTTTCCTCGCCGTAGTACATTGGCCCCGCGTATGCCGTAGCCCTTGGTCTCGTCATCCTCCTCCCCGGTAAGCTTCCGATACCCCGAATCGCTATGGATGTCAACTTCATTCGTCGGCTTCATCCGAGGGAAGGTGATACGTTTCGGGCTGCTGATCAGCTTTCGCGCCACAGCATTCAAACGTCTGACTTGCAGATTGGTGGGCTCTTGAATTTTCTGAAGAGAGACCACGTATACCATGAGCCAGATTTGGGTAAGAAGGGCATAGGCGAGGGCTCCTCGCAGGCTGACGAACATGTCGGTAATGAGTTTCGTGGCTTTGGCATCGGCCGCCGCTCCTGTAAGTTCTGGGTGTGTGATAGGACGTAGTTGTTTGATATACTCGTCCTGGTCCATGATCACATCTCCTTGATCATTCTTAGTGTAGCGAACGGCGCAGTTCGTATATGTGTGCTTGTTGAGCTTGCATTTGCCAAACACCTTTTCGACACGTTGTACATAGTCGTCTATATTTTTCTCTAGACCTGTCATGTTAATATCATCGACATGTTTTGCCGTCAGAAGGTCTTGGCTGAATTCAAATTCAGGATCGTAGCTGGTCGGTGTAAGTCCTATAGCTCGTGTGGTCGTACGAAGTTTGAGAGAGAACGCTCTTGGAGCGTCCTTTGTACCCGTTCCTGGTTTGAGGCATCTAAGACAGTGTCGACTTTCGTCGTAGGATGAGAAGCCGGGTAATGTACGAAGTACCTGAGCACTTCCTGGTGGAAGAGTAAAGCAAACCATGCGAGTTTCCTCGCCGGTGGCATGGGCAAGTTCCTCATAGGTCAAACCCTTGAGGAACGCCTTATCGATATCCATGGATGCTAAGATCCACTCTGGATGGCATGCCGCTTCACTTGCCAGGAGTCGCTGGGACTGCCTTCGGGCGGTTCCCGAGAATGTTTCCACATCAAAAGCCTCAGTATCCATAAATCCACGAAGGACCAGTCTGAGACGAATGGTTTCAACGTTCTCGGTACCCATCTTTACGAACTTCCACTTGTATACATACCTGGATGTCATGATGTTGGAAGCTTTGGATAAATCATACATCTCAAAGCATCGGTTATCAATCCAGATTTTGAGCTCAGTATACAAAGCTTCACTAACCTCCTTTGGATGTGCTGCCATGTCGGCTTTGGTCAGTAGATCATCTTCTTTGACAACCACAGCACGTTTAGCAGCAGAGGATACATATACTCTCATCGTTGCGACCATATCGGCATCGAGCTGTGCAAGTTGAGTCTGATCCAACACTATTTTTGACATTTCTGATGTAAAGCAAAATTCGACGTAAGGACCATATTCATCACTGTCAAGAGAGTAGCTCTCGTCGGTTGTGGTTGAACAAAGAGAGACTAGACAGGATTCCCGTGATTTCGGCTCGTCTCCAAGCATATCTGATGATATAATGTCATCTTCGTCCACAAATGCTGAAACCAAAACACATTGGTCGGGCAGCATAGTTGTTGGGACGCAATAAAGATAATCATCGGTAATCGTCGTAGGATGAAGGTCCATACGTAGCTCGTCGTACCACTCTTCCAGCATCATAGCTTCGATATTGTGTTCCTCATTTTCCTCATAGATTGTCGACAGACGGCCTTCACTCGGCGATGAAGCATCTGGTGTGTCTGGAGAAGGCCTGTTTCCAGGCGACTCGTGTTCTCCAGACGTGTTGCTTGGATGCTGATATTTAACCAAATCGTCGTGAAATCCTAAGGAAGGGACACGTGAAGTCAAGCATTGAATAAGTCTGGAGTGAGTGCTACCAGTGATCTGAGAAATGTTTAAGCCGGTGCCCACACATTCGTAATAGTGGAACGCCGGGCTGATGTCGTTGTCATAGTGGATCAGCGTAGACCCGGTGGCGTACTTTACTGCAGGTAGGCTTGACACACTCTTAGCCAGTCGAACTGCTACTACATGTTCTACTCGGAAGTAATTTCGTACGAGATACTGTAGTGCTAAGTGTACGCGCGGGTGAAACTTGCTGTCGTCTGACAGATTAAGGTTTCCCTTGTAATCGGGGATATAACCGAAAACTTTGGCAGGTTTCCCTGCGCTGAGGTGTGCCACATAAGCAAGGACGGTTTGCATGGCCATATTATCCATGCCAAGTTCCCGTGTGAGGAGACATTCAATGTATAGTGTGTGACGAGCATCAGGATACATCACAATTACCTCACGAGATCCTGCCTTGACAACAATATGTCCTCTTTCAGGTACATTACGGATCACCGGGAATGGGCCATTCCAACCTCCATGGTCGTCCTTGGTGGCAGTAGGTCGGTGGTAATCGACCAAATCCCCTGATGAGTAGAGGCGAGCACCATCAGGAGTCGTCTTAGCCCTAAGAGCCCGATTTGTCTTGGCCACAGCAGTAGCCTGAGTTATAGCTTCTAGGCTGACTTCCCTTACACGACGTTCTCGTTCGTGTCCTGAAGTCTCGGGTCCCTTGGGAAAGTCAAGGGTATCGAGATCAGGGAGGAAAGAGGGCTGACGTCCTGTGTGTGCCTGATATGGCGATACTCCGTTATAAAACGTAAACGCATTAGTAACGAAGATGCCTTCCGCCAATATTCTAGTGAATACAACAGGGATGTTGTGTCTATTCAATTCTTCCTCAATCATGTGGAGGACGCCTCTGAGAATGCCGTTTCGTGACTCAATTGAAGTCGCGTGTTGGCCAGGTGCTCGGATACGAAGTTCCGTGCCCTTATTGGCCATCATGGTTTTAGCGGCATCGTTATTCAGGGCGCCTTCTCCGTCTGAGTATAAAACTTTGAAGGGTCCGTGATAGGCAATCCAGCAGTAGTGGTAGGCGTCGATGATAGTGTCACGTTCTCTGTCGGAAATTTCTAGGCCTGCTGCCAGGCGAATACAACGATCCATAATATGAAATATGGTCCGTTTCTTGTAAAACATGAGGTCCATTTCCCCTTCATCGAGCCAGTTACCAGGAAGGCTCACCGATGGTAGTGTTGAGTTTCCTGGACGTTCCCATGCTCTGCATTCCCGACAGGTATCGCAAACTTCTTTGATCATGTTTAGTCGAACGTTATCAAGCCCCACCTTTTCGAGGATTAGCCTCATCTTTGGCTCCTTCGCATGATACCATCGCAGATGCAGTTTTCGGAGTTCCTTTTTCACGACATGGGGTTCGTGACTACGGAGACTCTGTAGACTGTGTTGGATGTCGAATCTCGTCCAGTCGGGTCGTCGTGCAGCCCCAGAGCCGGTGGAGGCAAGAGGGTTCCTTGTAGCTCTCCGTAGTTGGTCCCCTGTGTTAACCGCGTCTGGAGGTGGTGGCACGCCTCGTAGACGGCCGCGGCGGGCCGCTACCTGTGGCGCTTCGCTAGAAGACGCAGAAGGCGTGTTTCCACGCACGCTCGGGGGCGTCTCGTAGCATGTCGTAGCTGCTGGCACCAGATGTCGGATCGACGTTGCCGAAAGATCGTGGTCGCGGTGGCCTGGCGTGTGCGCCTTGACGGCCACCTGAAGCTGAAGCTTGGCCCTCACCAGGTTTAGGTAAGGGTTTCCACCAAGCTGGCAC